GTTCAACAAACATCCATTTGATGCCTATAGTCAGCAAAGCATCTGGAGAAGACCCGTGGGGTATTCAGAGAGAAGTTGCATTCCTGGGCCTGCGAGCGCTTGGCTCCAAAGGGGCCAAGGACTGGATATGAATGAAATGAGCACGAGGGTATAAACTGCCCCAGCATGGGATGATCCCCAGGACTGAGGAACTCTGGGGGAGATGCCAAATTGGAGAGCCTCAAGGAAGGGGCAGGGCTTCGACCTGGCCAAGTGTAGGAGGAAAGGCACTCTGGTAGAAAGAAGAGATATGCAAAGTTGAGGAAGGAGAAGTCCTAGGCTAGCAGACTAAACCAGAGGTGGGGGCCAGTTCCCATCCTTTGCCAAGCCGGGGCCTGCCTCATTTCACTCTCCACAGGTCCCCTTGGAGGCGGCTACCATGACCTGCCCGCAGGTAAGGACACAAGGCTTCCAGAGCTTCTGTGGCCTGTCCAAAGTCGCACAAGATGGGGCATACGGCTGGCAGCTCCAGGAGATGTTCAGTGTTCTAACCCTCAGGTCTGGCCCGCTGGCTGGGGTAGCACACCCCACACCTATACCCCCACAGTAGCTTAGGACAGGAAGAGGAGCCAAGGGGAGGAAACGAGGGGAGAGGCAGAGGAAGCGCCGGGCACTCACCGCGGGAAGGTGGCCATGCGGTCTTTCAGAGCCTGCACGAACGGGAGGATCCAGTGATGCCGCAGCACCACGCTCTGGGACAGGCTGAGGTGGAATGCTTCCATCTGCACCAGCCGGGGAACATAGGTCTGGGCGTGGGGCAGCAGCATGTCCAGCAGATCCAGGAATTCCTCCCCGGTCTCATCTGGAGGGAAGAGTAGAGAGGGCGGGCCATTCTCTTAGCCAGGCCCGTGTGGCTGAATGAAGAATCCCAGAAGGCCGAGAAAGGCCTTCACTACTCTGGATTTTGGGGGAAAATTACTTTGAAAGCAGCCTAGCTCTATCTATTTTAATATATGATTTTGTGGTTATAGAAGTAACACACGTATGCTCATTGTAAAGAATTCAAGGAAAAAAAGGAAATATGCCAAGGAGAAAGCAGGGCCCCCCAAAATCCTATCACCTAGAGCATCGAGCAGTCTCCAAACTATTGTGATCACCTGGGCCATTAGTCAAACAAACTTGCACGCATATGTGCAACAAACGTGTATTTATTTATAAGTTACAAATGTGCATGTTACAAAATTATGTCCATTGTAAAAGGTACACTCTCGAGAATGGAAATTTTATTTTATTTATTTATTTATTTATTTAAAGTCTATTTATTTTTTGGTAATCTCCACACCTAATGTGGGGCTCGACCTCATCACCCCGAGATAGAGTCGCATGCCCTTTCGACTGAGCCAGCCAGGCACCCCAAGAACAGAAACTTTTAAAAGATGAGATGGGGCGCCTGGGAGGCTCAGTCGTTAAGCGTCTGCCTTCAGCTCAGGTCGTGATCCCAGCTCCTGGGATCGAGCCCCCACATCGGGCTCCCTGCTCGGCAGGAAGCCTGCTTCTCCCTCTCCCACTCCCCCTGCTTGTGTTCCCTCTCTTGCTGTGCCTCTATCTCTAAAAAATAAAAAAAATAAAAAATTTAAGAAAATTAAAAGATGAGATAAAAAGGGATATATAAAGAAGTTCTAATACTTTTCTTCTGGATGGATCATCTTGACCTCTCCCCCAGGGGGCATACACCCCACTTTCAAGACTGTCAGAGATGGATGCCTATCTCCCTAGCCTCTTCTCAGTGCATATCCTCGTGTATACATTTTATTTGTTGAAAAAATGAGAGTGTACCATTCAAACTGTTCTTCCACTGGCTTTTTTCTTTCTTTCTTTTTTTTAAAAAGATTTTATTTATTTATTGGTCAGAGACAGAGAGAGAGCATGAGCAGGGGGAGTGGCAGGCAGAGGGAGAAGCAGACTCCCCGCGGAGCAGGGAGCCCCATGTGGAGCTCGATCCCAGGACCCTGGGATCATGACCTGAGTCGAAGGCACAAGCTTAACCGACTGAGCCACCCAGGTGTCCCTTCCACTGACTTTCTTCATGTAACGCTACATGTTGGATAGCTTCCTCTCAGTGCAGAGGACAAGCTGATCATAGGTTCACAGTAATCCATAATCACCAACAGCACTTCCTTTATCAGTCACCTATTAGATGTTTAGAATCTCCTGATAAATGTTTAGAATGCTCCTAATTTTTCACAAAGACGAAGAACACTACAATGACCACCACTGTATGTTCACATATTCTTCTTCTTTTTTTTTAACCAAATGTGGGACTGGAGCTGCATGGGTAACGGTCTGTTCACACCCAGGCTGTTAGTCAATTTGTTCCAATGCCCTGGTGAGTAGGCAGTACAGAGAATCATTCTCATTCTGTGGATGGGGAAATGGAGGCTCTAAGAGTTGACCTGATCGAACACAAAATACTAAGAGCCACCACCTACTCTGTGTATTGTGTTAAGAGCCTGACACAAATGATCTGATTTAATCTTCACAACAGTCCTAGGATATACGGATTTCTATAATCCCCATTTTAGAGATAAGGATACTGAAGCTCTGGGAAGTCCAGTAACTTACTAAAGGGTGCCCAGAGCACTGGGTAGTGAAGTGAGGTCTGACTCCGGCGCCTGGGCATTTTTTTGCCTGCCACTCACTCATGGGGGCTGGTAGGGGCGGGAGGGGGACCTGCCCCAGCACACCCAGGGCCCTCTCAGGAATAAACTGCCAGCTGCAGCCACACTCCGGGATGGCCTTGACACTGCCCTAGACCCTCCCTTGGTCACCTCATGAGTGGGAAAACATTATACCCAGGGTTAATTAAAAAAATATTTCAGGCAACGAATTCGAAACTTTTTGAAAACAGGTTTACAGGAAAAACTCCCCAATTCTTGAAACTTGTTCTCTCTCTGCTAAGTCCATCTCTCTCCTACCATCCATGTCAGAGGTTTCTGGCTTGTTCCTCCTGGTTGGGGCCAGCTTCCTCCCATCAAGAGGCACCTATCAAATCTCAGTCACCCGCCCTTTACACGTTACTCACATGGCACATAGACGTGGGTGGCCCAGTTGCCCCGCTCATGGGGGAAAGTGCGCACCCGGCCCCCGTGTTTTTCCCGGTCATCCTCAGGCTCCTCCTCGGTGTCTAGGAACATGTGCAGCACACTGTCGGGTACCGGCAACCTCTGGCTGGGAAGGGGGCTCTGGGTACTGCAAGAGAGAAAAAGGAAATGAGCACACTTAGCCTCCTGGCATTCTCCACCTCTGTGCCTACAGCAAAAGTCATAACCCCTTATCCAGGGTGACTGTACGCATCAATTTCCCACCAGGTGCTGGAAGCAGCTTTTAGATAACCACAAAGCTCTTTCCCCAGTACTGTCTCACTGGGGTCTCCCCACAGCCCCAGGAGGCTGACTTTAGCTGGGAGCATGGGAAACAACTGGGCAGGCAGCAGTGTGTTGTTCAGAGGTCACATTCCCTGAACAGTGGACAAGTGCTTCCGAGCTTTGGGGTCTTGAGCAAGTCATGTGTACTCTGTGGGCCTCAGTCTCCTCATCTGTAAAGTGTACTTTACCTGACAGAGCTATTGTGAGATCAACAGAGATACTACTGCTTGAAAGGCACTCTTCAAAGCACCAGGGGTGGCACTTGAGAACTGCAGCTCCACTAAGTCAGACTTCGACCGTTTCGTTCATTGCCGAGTGTCACAGCCTGGCGCAGAGCGGGTGCTCCATGAGCATTTACTGGATGGATGAAAACACCCTCCATATGTGGAAACAGACCTAGGGTGGTGCTGTGGTGCGCGCCAGGAGATCCTGGCGGCGGCCAGCGCTGGAGGGGGGACCCAAGCCCACGTTTCCTGCCTCCTAACCTTGGCCTAGCCAGGTGGGGGCACTCTGGGGCTGTGTCCAGGGCTGTCCTCCGGACCCTCCTTTTCCGCTGTACCCCTCTTTCTTCCCTGGAGAGCCGCTCCGCACCATCGCCCCTTTCCCTTCAGACGCTCGGGTTCCGTCGGGGTGTCGCGCGAACCAGCACCCTCCCCAGAAAGATCTCCTCGCTCCTTACCGCCGGCAGCCTCCAGTCCCCGGCCGCGCCTGGGCCCCGGCCTCGGCCTCGTCCTCATCCTCCGAGCCGCTGCTACTGTAGCCCACCAGGGGCGCCGCACTCATGGGGCCTCCTCCACGACAGCAGCCCGTAGCCGCGAGCGATCGCACCCGGAATTCGGCTACGCCGGAAGTGCCCTCCCGGGGGCGGGGCCCGGAGAAGCACCGCCTCGGGGCGGGGCCTGGAGGGGCGGGGCCCCGCCGGACTCGGGCGGGACTCTACACCCAGACCACGCTGCCTGCCAGCTCGCAGCGCCTTGACGGCTACCTGGCGCCTCCCGGAACCGCACCCCTAGCCTCTGTGTGCCCATTTCACAGATCGCTCTGGGCCCTGACCTCTCTGTACCCTCCTCTGTCAGCAGCCATCCGCGACCAGACCTCCTAGCCACGGACGGTCCCTGGGTCAGCGGTCAGCGCGCTAGACCCAGCGGAGATCCCTGTCCTCGAGGCCCGGACGGGATCAGAGGTCCGGGAGCCCCCTCCTCAAGCCGGTCCAGAGCCCGAGCTCCAGGGGCCAGTCTCCTAAGAGCAAGCTGAGCAATCAGAAGCGGGTCAGTTCCAGAAGATCAGAGGGTCTAGGAGGCCCCTCCTCTCAAGCGCGGGCGTCGGGTCTCAGGTCGGGTTGCGGGGGGAGCCCCCTCCGCCAAGGCCGAGCAGGTTGGTCGGAAGCCGGGCGCCCTCCCTGGTCCGCTGAGGCGTGCAGGTCAGGCAACTGGAGAGCCACCCTGCACGCCCGACTGTCCGACCCGGCCCGGCCGCGGGGTCCCCGGCAGGGGGCGGCCTCGCTCCGTGCCGCCCGCTCCTCCCGCAGCTGCCGCCGCCCCGGCTGCCGCTCCTCCCCCGGCCCCGCCTCCCTGGCCCCCGCGCCGCCCGCCTGTCCGCCGGTCTCTGCAAGGCCGTCGGTCCGTCCGCCCGCCCTCCCGGCGCTCCTCCGCCCTGGCCCCGCTATCCCGGCCACGCACGTCGCTTCCTCGGTTCCGGCCGCCGCTAGCCCGTTCCCCGCCCCCGGGCCGGCCGCCGCCGCTACTCGAGGCCGGGGATTGGCAGTGCGCGTAGGCCGCGCCGCCGCCGCTGGAGCCGGAATAAAGGGGCGGCCGAGAGAGCAGCCGGTCGCCACTCGCCCCGCGCCTGACCCCGCGGGCGGCCTGGAGCAGGTGAGCGGCGGGGCGCCCGGGGCTGCGTCTGGGGGCCACTCCCGCGCCCGCCGCACCCCTTCCCCAGCCGGCCCGCCCGCCACCACCACCACCTCCCCCCCCCTCCACCTCCGGCCCGACCTGGCGGCCTCCTGAGCTCTGGGGCGGCCCCAGGCCAGCCGGGGCGCGTAGCTACTAACCGGGCCCAGCCTGCGGCTCTGGGGCCTTCCTCGGGCCCAATCGCCCGCGGGGCCGGCGCTCCGGCCCGTAGCGGCCTGGCCGTTCCTGGTGAGGGCTGACAGGAGGCAACCCAGCCAGGCTGGCGGGCAGTGCCGGCGGGGAGGTGATCGCCTTTCATTCGGGTTCCCAGGGAGGAGGAAGGGCTGGCGTGGGGCGCAGGGGGGGGGGCCCCCCTTTGCCTCCGTTACCCTGGTCTCTCCTCTTTGCGGAATGATCAGAGAGGCCTCCGGGTCGCACCTTCCTGGAAGTGGGCAGGGGTGGGCAGCTGAGCTGGGGGCCCAGGATCCGGGACCCTGGTTCTGGCAGCCATTCATACCGGAAAAAAAAAAAAAAATTCATCTGGGTTGGCTCATCCGGACCTAGACTGCGCTCAGAGTAGCCCCTCTTCCCTCTTTCCTGGGGAGGCTTCCTACCTGCTTGTTCATGCAACCTGCTGATTCCACTACGAGCAGCGGCTCCTTTCCTTCATTCCTTCCCGGAAGATGCTGTGGGTGACAGTTTTTCGCCTGACTCTCAGGTTTCTTTGGCAGAACAGTTAGAGGCAGGGCTGGCCTGTGAAGGCATCCCCTTTTTTTCTCCTTTCCCTCAGGAGAAAACTTAGAAACTTTTCAATGTTTGAGGCAGAGGAACTGGAAACCTGAAAGTGGGTTGCATGTAATTCTAAAAGTTCCTCCCTCTCGCTCTCATTACCTTCTGCTGCCACAAAGTGGTGAGTTAGAGATTTGCCTGGGCTGGGTGGTCTTTCCCTTCCATGGATTACCCAAAATGTTAGAGACTTGGAGCAAGGGAATGGGGTTGCCTCTGGAAAGGTTGTCTTTTCCAGGTGGTCCTGGGAAGAGGAGAAATGCTCTGTGCTTAGGATGTTACTTCCCACATTGCCGAGGCAAACTCCTGATTGCCCACTTTTTCCTGCGGGCCTTGGCACTGTCAGATTCAGAGGATTTAGGAGTTTTGGGTGCTCTGGGAGTTAACTGGAGCCCGGATGTTCTGTGGAGCCCTCCAGGCTGGGTGGGTCTATGGACCTATCATCGGTACCCCATCATACATTGGCTCAGGTCTCCGCAAGGCCATCCTAACTGTTGGGTGGAGGAAGAACAGGCACGTGGTCAGGAAAGAGGGCCTAGGGGTTAGTTGAGAGGGATGTGGGTCATCCCCTCACAAAATCAGTTTTTTGAGATGGTCCTCGGTTCCTGTAGTTGTTTTAAATATTGGCTGCCTGAGGCCGTTTGCTCTTAGGCCCTCAGGTCTGGGAGGTCTGGTTCTCGGTCTCAGCAGGCTGTTACCCTGAGCAGGGATGTCCTGGGTTGAGATTCAGGGCAGCGGGGGGAAGGGAGCTCGAAGGCCTTGGGGTGTCCTCCACCAGTGCCTCTCTGCTTTTATGTAATAACGTATTGGGCTTCCAAGTAAGAATTTTATTTGCAAAATAAGTTACGCTGCTGAAATCGGTTTGGACACCATGGGCCTCCCTCTTCCTTTGGAGCATGAGCAGAATTTATGACTTCTTTGTATTATGGCAGATCATGCCAGACCCTTATCTGTGAGACAGCTGGCTACAGAGGGCTGGCAGTAGGCTGGGGAGCCGGGAGGCTGTCTTTGCTGGAGGGGCTGAGCCACCAGCAGACTTCTTTGGTCGTGTGTGAAGAGAGCGGGTCTTCCAGCCCTGAGCCCCTCTCTCTTCCCTGATGTGGCAGCTGTGTGGCGAGTGTGGGCAGAACGGGGAGAGGGGCCCAGGGACCAGCCACGGATCTCGGCGTCAAGCTGACCGTTTTTCTCTTCCCTCCAGAACCAGTCATCGGGGAAGGCAGAGCCCCTCTGGCCTCGCCACCCACCCCACCCCCCGCCCGGGCACTCTGCCCTCGAGAGCCCCGCCTCCGGTAGGCAGAGCCTGGCAGTTCGTCTTGGTTAATGCCGCCAGCCGTCTGACCAGTACCCCTTGTGTGCCTCGTCTGAGGTTTTTGTCCATCCCTGATCCTGGGCAGCTTCTCTCTGGGCTGGATCACCTTCGGCGGGAAACTGAAGCCCTTACTCTCCAAGCCCTGTTTCGTCTTCCCAAGCATGTCAGAAAGCTGGCAGCAGCCCCCGCAGACGCAGCCCCAGCAGCCACCGCCGCCGCAGCCCCAGCACCACGCCGAGCCACCACCCGCCCTGGCCGAGCACGCGCTGCCCCCGGGCTCGGCTGAGAACCCCCTGGGCTGTGCCGTCTACGGCATCCTCCTGCAGCCGGACCCCGGCCTCCAGCCCCCGCAGCACGCGCCCCTGCAGGCAGCCGGCGAGCCGGGCCCCAAGTGTGGCGTGTGTGGTCACGACCTGGCGCACCTGTCCAGCCCGCACGAGCACCAGTGCCTGGCGGGCCACGACCGCTCCTTCCAGTGCACGCAGTGTCTCAAGATCTTCCATCAGGCCACAGACCTGCTGGAACACCAGTGTGTGCAGGCCGAACAGAAGCCTTTCGTCTGCGGTGTCTGCAAGATGGGCTTCTCGCTGCTCACCTCGCTGGCGCAGCACCACAGTGCGCACAGCGGCGCCAGCGGCCTGGTGAAATGTTCCATCTGTGAGAAGACCTACAAGCCGGCTGAGGCGGCCGAGCCGGCGGCCACCGCCGCCGCCGCCGCCGCGGCCACCTCCCTGCCCCCGGCCCCCGCGCCGCCGCCTCCGCCACCACCGCCGCCGCCGCCGCCGCCGGCCGTGGCCCCCGCGGAGCAGGCCGACAAGCCTTACAGCTGCCCCATCTGCCAGAAGCCCTTCAAGCACCTGTCGGAGCTGTCGCGGCACGAGCGCATCCACACTGGGGAGAAGCCGTACAAGTGCACGCTGTGTGACAAGAGCTTCAGCCAGTCCTCGCACCTGGTGCACCACAAGCGCACGCACAGCTCCGAGCGGCCGTACAAGTGCGCCGTCTGCGAGAAGACCTTCAAGCACCGCTCGCACCTGGTGCGCCACATGTATGCGCACTCGGGCGAGCACCACCTCTTCCGCTGCAACGTGTGCGAGCTGCACTTCAAGGAGTCCTCGGAGCTGCTGCAGCACCCGTGCACACCGAGCGGGGAGCGGCCGTTCCGCTGCGGCGAGTGCCAGAAGGCCTTCAAGCGCCCGTCGGACCTGCGGCAGCACGAGCGCACGCACAGCGCCGAGCGGCCCTTCAAGTGCGACCTGTGCCCCATGGGCTTCAAGCAGCAATACGCGCTCATGCGGCACCGGCGCACGCACAAGCCCGAGGAGCCCTTCAAGTGCGGCCTCTGCGAGAAGGGCTTCGGGCAGCCCAGCCACCTGCTCTACCACCAGCACGTGCACACCCTCGAGACCCTCTTCAAGTGCCCCGTGTGCCAGAAGGGCTTCGACCAGTCGGCCGAGCTGCTGCGGCACAAGTGCCTGCCGGGCGCTGCCGAGCGGCCCTTCAAGTGCCCCGTGTGCACCAAGGCCTACAAGCGGGCGTCGGCCCTGCAGAAGCACCAGCTGGCGCACTGCTCCGCCGCCGAGAAGCCCCTGCGCTGCACCCTGTGTGAGCGCCGCTTCTTCTCGTCCTCGGAGTTCGTGCAGCACCGCTGCGACCCGGCGCGCGAGAAGCCGCTCAAGTGCCCGGACTGCGAGAAGCGCTTCAAGTACGCGTCAGACCTGCAGCGGCACCGGCGGGTGCACACGGGCGAGAAGCCCTACAAGTGCCCCAGCTGTGACAAGGCCTTCAAGCAGCGCGAGCATCTCAACAAGCACCAGGGGGTGCACGCCCGCGAGCAGCAGTTCAAGTGCGTGTGGTGCGGCGAGCGCTTCCTGGACGTGGCCCTGCTGCAGGAGCACAGCGCCCAGCACAGCGCCGCCGCGGCCGCCGCCGAGGGCGCCTACCAGGTGGCCGCCTGCCTGCCCTGAGTGCGGCCCTGAGTGCAGCCCTGAGTGCGCACCTCCGAGCGGTCCCCACCGGGCCCGGCCCGCGCGCGGCCAACTGAGCCCTCCCCCCACCCCCCCGCCGCCCGGCTGGGTGGTCTGAGGACCGAGGGCGCCCGCGTAGCCGTGGTGGGGGGGAGGGGAAGTGGGGGTGCCTGGCGCTCCTGGTACCGGCCTGGAGGGAGGGGGTGGGGGGAGCCAGATTGCTGTGGCTGGCCCTGATCCCACAAACCTCTTTTCCATTATAGGATTCCTTTACTTGAGAGCCATCAGCCTCCCTTGTCTCTGGGGCCCTGGAACCAGGCTGGAAGTCAAGTGGCCTCCCTCGACCCCAAGGAGGGATTGGTGCCAGCCCTACCTTCCCAAACTTTTCAGCCTAATTAGAAACCAGATTGGTTAGGAAAGAGGATGGTCATGGTCGGGCCTGGGAGAAGGGCTGGATCCCATAGGTGGGCCGGATGTAGGGCATCCTCCTTCAGGTCGCCGTTTGAGGGAGCAGGCCAGCTTTGTGATGTAGTCCTGGGGACCAGGAGGGCAGTCGGTGAGGCTGAGCCGCAGGCCTCTCTGCTCCAGCTGGGGCCGGTGTGGCCTCCCGGGTTCCGCCAGGGAGACATACAGGACGGCTGCACATCTGTGAGCTGGGTGTGCCTGCAGAGAACCGGCCCAGCTAGAAGGGAGGAGGCAGAGAAGCTCTCGTGTGACACACTCAGCCAGGGACAGTGCCCTCCACAGGGAAGGGAGGAAAGGCAGCTTTTGTACTGAGGGGTAATCCTGCTGTTCGGAAAGTGCCCCTCCTACCTTTGCAGCATGGTTCCAAGCTCTGGGAATGTGTTCTCGGCCAGACCGAACTACTGATGAGAAAGAAGGGGATTGTTAGACCACCTTGGTGCCTGGGAGGAAGCAGGGCCAAGTCCACGGTCTTACCAGTGGATGCAAACAAGTGTCCTCCCCCTTGAATGTGTGAACCAAAGTGTCAAGGGCGCGACTCCAAACAGCTTGCCCCAGCTCTCCTTCTGGGCCAAGACCGGGCCTGGGCACCCAGGGTGGGGGTGGGGGTGGGGGTGTTAAAGGACTCTGACTCCACAGTGCTCTCCCAGCCCCTGGGAACCTTCCCTGTCAGTCTGGCTCCTGGCCTGGACCCCGGGGTCTTGCGCTGCCAAGATGGCCTGGACATTATCCAGTGACTTCCAAGGCTAGAGATCGTCTCTGAGGTCCTCCTCGGGTCCCTGTAGGTCTCTGCCTGCCCACCGGGGCTCATGGAGTCAAGGGTGTCCAGGGCAATAGGGAGCAGGCCAGGGCAGAGGGTTGTTAAGGGAGCTGGTAGGTGCCTGGAGTTGACTGAGATCACTCGCCAGTGGGGGCCCTCCTGGGGAAGCCCGAAGGACCTTTATTATCAAAATGATTCTTGTGGACCCAGCTGTGCCCCTGCCCTGCCCTCTTCCAGCCTTCCTTAGGCGTGGGTCTGGAAAGACTAATCAGTGCTTGCACCAAGGGCCCAGAGGAGCAGGGAGGGCCTTGTCTCGCTCCCACCTCGGGAAGGCTGAACAGCCCACATCCGCCTCCTCCTCTATGGGACCCGGCTCCCTTCCTGTGCTTGCAGAGAGGGGCCGGTCCTTCCCCTCGGTGCTGGCTCTCAGTCACAATGCCTCAAAAGACATGGAACCCAGGCCGACAACAGGCCCAACTGCAAATTTTTCCCTTTCCTTTTGCTTTCTAAAAGCAGTTGTTATACTGTTCATAACATTGTATAGTTTAATTTCATGTCATTTTGGATCTTATATAAAAATGTGAAAATTTGGATTTTTAAAAAGAATGACTCCATTTTAGATAGCCCCTTTTGATGTTAATATATAGTGAGTCCAATGTATGCTTTAGAAGTAAAGACATTGACCATCACAGACCAAAGCTCTGCTTGTTCTGGTCATTCTTCCCCTGGGGGATGATGGGGCATGGAGGGAGAGACAGAGGGGTACAGGCTCTGGTGGCAGGCTTGGGATCAGGACGTGAGGCTGGGTTCAAATCCCAAGTTTTGAATGTTCTGGTCATGTGACTTTGGGCAAGTCACTCAACCTCTTTGGGACTCAGTTGCCTCCCTTGCCTTGCTTAGTGGCTGTGAGGATTCATGACGTTCTGTATGGAGGCCCGGGGCTTGGGGGGAAAGCTGTGAAGGTGCTGACAGTCCTCGGGGCCCCAGGGGATAGGCTTGCGGTCTCCTGCCCTGCTGGAGTTCTCACTGCAGCCCCGGCGGGAGGGAGCTGGGCTGGGAGGGACACGCAGCTTGTGGATGGTGAGAAACCGCAGCCCGGCCTGGTAAGCATGAGTGCTTACTCCGCCCCCGTGGGAAACCAGGGCTTGCCCGGAGCAGCAGTGGCCCCAGCCAGGTGCCCTGCCCCAGAGGGCTGCCTGCTCTCAGCCCACTTGTACTCACCCCTTCCCGTCGCCATCCATCTGCGTGTCCAGCCAGCCACCTCCCTCCTTGGCCTTCCAACCCACCTTTCTGTTCCCTGCCCCAGGCCCCCAGTGGGCCAGCTGTGACTCAGGCTCCTTCCATTTTCTCGAAGGCAGGGGCGCAGGCGGGGAGAGGGAGAAACAGCCTCCCCAGGCCAGGGGAGGGTGGTCAGCACCTTGCCCCGGAGGTGGGGGTAGGGAGGGTAGAAAGTCAAGAGGACAAGGAGCTGCCCATGCCACAGGGGGGCTCAAAACTGGGTGCAGACAGCTAGTGGAAAGGCTAAGGGGGACTGACTTCCTCTGTGTGTGCCCCTGGGAGGACCTCCCTTGAGGAGCCGTGTGGTCCCTTCCTGCAGGTGTCCACTTGCCAGCCGGAGGACGCCCAGGGCCCCTCGTGTCCGTGCCAGGCTTCGATCCTGCCTTCCTTGCTAGCTGAGTGACCTTAGGCAAAACCCACACACCTTGCAGAGACTCCTGGAAAGCACTGGCGTGTGTTTGGTGCTTTCTAGCTTCAGGTTGCCCTTCCCGAATGTTCGATGGTCTTCGTGTGCATGGGGCAGGAGGAGCCCCGGCGGGGCTGAGCTCACACGGAGCCTACAGTGACATGCTTTCGCTCTGTCTCCATCCTCTCCTCTTACAAAGCTCCCACCTGGCCCTCTGCCTCTGGGCTCCAGCCTGCGCCCCAACCAGGGCAGTGAGTGGAGCCTGGATGTTCAGGTTCAAGTCCTAGCCTTTTGATAAAAAGTGACCCCAGGCACTTGTTATCTGCCCCTCTTGGGGGCCTCAGTTCCCCATCTGAAGCAGAGGTCTTGACCCTGATCTCTAAGGGCCCTTAGAGACCTGACGCTCTGATTCTGGGAGGGTGACAGGATCAACCTGTGTCTTCCTCTCCCTGCCTCCGCTGGCCTCCAGCCTGTGGTCTTCCTGTGTCAGTCTGGCTTCAGCTGTAAGCGACAGAAGTGGCGAAGACTGGCTTGAGCGGCTGACCACACCGCCCACCCACCCGCCCAGGAGCCCCCACAACCTCCTGCGTCCCACGGCTGATGTGAGTCTCCCTCTTGTAGAGCAGAGCATTTTCACCAGGGGACTTGGGATGCTGTGACGCGGGGCGTAAAAGGAGGTGGTATTCTACCTCCTTTAGTCTTTGGGGAATCGTGCTTTGCCCCAACCACTGACACGTAGGAAGAAGGTGGTACCTTGGGGTGAGCCGTGACATCGGGACGACAACCAGAGCTGGGGAGGATCAAGAGACAGAGGAGGACAGAAGCTTCCCGCTTCGGAGCTGGTAATTCGGGAGGGTGAGGGCACAGTGCAATGGTCTTTGTGGAGGGTTGGGCACGTCGTGGCCACTCGGGAGAGCAGAACAGTCGGAGGTCAGAGGCCAGAGGGGGCTGCCCTAACACTTCCCTCTGAATGTCGGGGCTCTCCCCACCCCCACCCCGACACCCCATTCATAAGCCCTGTTGCCTCCACCCGCTGGTCAGAGCCTCCTACCAGGAGGGCAGGGCAGGGCAGACATGAGTAGTATTCCCTTTGGGCTGACGCTTGAGAAGTCCTGGGGCTGCCCAAGGCCACGCATTTGGTGGTGAAGGAGGCCTGGAATCGTGGGGGCTGGCCTGGTGGGGAGCACACAGAGGGGATGGGTCAGCCCTGGGCTCTGAACCTCCCAGGCCCCCAGCTCCGGCCACTGAGGCCTGGGGCTCTGGTTCCAACCCACTTTTGGTGGGCCAGGAAGCTGGGCACAATGGCTGGGCCCGGTGCCGGCGCCCGGTCCGGCCAGGGGGCGGGAAAGCCCTTCACCAGCTGGCAGAGGGGGCGGCCAGCCCTCCGGTGGGCCCTCGACTCCTTGAGGGATTAAAGCCGCCGGGCTCTGTGTCCCCATCTGCGCAGAGGCGGCTCCGGGAAGAGCCGAGACCTCCTCAGACGCCTCTGTGGAAGTTTTCTGTCTCCAGTCCTCCATCCTGACCTCCCGCCTCCCTACCTCATTCCCTCCTCCCGAGCAGGCCTCAGTCAGGCCCCCCCGGCTGCTCCAGCCTTGGACGTTGGCCCCGGGGCCTCCCAGGCTGGGCCAGGCTGGCCTGTGATAAGCTCCACATCCCATCCTCAAACGGGGGATTTCTTTGTTCCTTGAAGGTCATGCCTCCAGGAAAAGCCTTGGCTGCTATTGATTGTCACAAATCTACAAAGATTCCAGGCCCGGAATGCCCAGTCCTCCTCAGGTCCCTGAAAAGGGGGTCAACGGGAGGGGTGGGAATAGGGGGTCCCCACGGGGGTCTCCCTCTTCCCTGTGTGTGCTTCCCCAACCTAGGTCTGCATTCCTGCCTTTGTTCATCCACGAGCTGGTGCTGCGGGGCATGCAGCTAAAACTTTAGAGGAGAGAGGTTTGAGGTTTTCGTGTATCAAAAGGTAAGGTCGGAAATGTCAAAGCTTCTGATTTTTAGCACAAAAGTTTACATGTGAGTCCTCCCTGACCCTCACCTCACCCCTGATCCATCCCCATTGCCAGCCCCAGGCCCTGGGTGAGGATGTATTTGGTGTGTTACTTTGTCATGAACACAACTGTTACTTTGTAGTAGTTGTTTCAT